GTAGTAGTAGTAGTAGTAGTAGTAGTAGTAGTAGTAGTAGTAGTAGTGTATGTAATAGCAGTAGTTGTAGTCGTAGTCGTAGTTGTAGTGGTAGTGGTAGTGGTCGTAGTGGTAGTCGTGGTAGTCGTGGTAGTGGTGGTAGTGGTAGTCGTGAAGGTATAGTGGTAGTATAGTGCTAGTAGTGGTAGTCGTGGTAGTGGTCGTAGTGGTCGTAGTGGTAGCAGTAGTAGCAGTAGTAGCAGTAGTAGCAGCAGTAGCAGTAGTAGTCGTATTATTAGTAGTAGTGGTAGTAGTGGTGGTAGTAGTAGTTGTAGTAGTAATAGTAATAGTATTAGTACAGTAGTAGTAGAAGAAGTAGTAGTAGTACTACTACTAGATGTTGTTGTTGTTGTTGCTTTTGTGGTTGTCTTTGTTGCTGTTATTGCTTTTTGTCTGGAGGAGGAAAAGCAGAAGAGCAACCATAATTTAAAAGTGCTGATAATGTAAAGGGACTCGGACAGCATATCTCGCACCACGGTCAGTTAAAAATAGCCATATTGATGCCATGGAGGGTACCACCGTTTTTGATGTTGATCATTGTTGATCCATCGAACTTCATCTCACAAACATGCCTCCGTGAACGCTCTCCCCAGTGACCTGCGAGGTTCACGGAAAATTTCTGACGGTGGTCGGCGGTTCGGCGGTTCACCTAAAGGACCCTAAAGGTAGAAACCTTCGGCCTCGGCCTTTGGCAACAAACAGGGCCTGCTGGCCCGATTTCGGCCGATCCTCATGGCTTAACAACCTGTTCACCACCACCATCGACCACTGTCAGGCCGAGGATCCTAACCAATGTCCCTCAACGATCGAGGGCCCACGACCGAGGCCCTGTTCACATGGCTCTTCAGCCCCGAGCGCTGCTCCTCCGCAGCCCGAAGGATGTTTGGAGCCTGGCTGAGGGAGGAGGACGGTTCTTTTTGCGGCGAGGGCGCAGGTGACACATAAACAAGCACCAGATGGCAAGGCAATGCAAAGCCGCAAAGCCTACAGAAAGCCCAGAAGGGAACATAGGCGGAAACTATGTTGGTAGTCTGTGGATGTTTGTGGTTCTGTTCTGTGTTTTGAGACTCCTTTCCCTCACTCGCATTCGCATTGGCATGATGGCCACTTTCCCCATCAAGAACCGAAAATTGTCAAACCGGGTTGTGTCGCCCATTAGCAGCAGCTCATGTGATTTATCAGTGGGCTGCTTGGTTGCGGAAAACTCTATTTGATCAAGCATATATATAGCTAACTCCGCACGCCCTGTCATTGGCATCAGGAGAAGGAGAAGCTTGTTCAGACCGTCGATTATTTTGTGTCACAGAAGCACTTAGCACAGCTCCTGATGTGATTTGCAAGAGCCTCGTGTCCACAAGCATCATAAATATAAATATATATATATACATTGTCCTGAAGGTAGCACATGTTGTCGGAATACCCCCGATTTGGGTTTTCAACCTACCCGCGAACAGTGCTAGAATACTTTCAAGACGATTTTCCTTCTTCAACACGCCCTTGAGATCCGAATGTAACAGCAATGTAACGTCCTGTTGCCCCTGGATCCACTGTGGGACCGGGTGCACAAGGCCTAGCGGTGTTGAACCCACTTGAATTCTGCAGGTTTGGATCGACGGAGATGCCATGGTGATAGACCACAGCCGCCCGCTGAAAGACTTTGTTATGGGACGCTTCACCAGGCAAAGGAATTTCTGTGACCTATGTCCATCGCAAGCATCAATGAAAGCCATGGGCATTTTTGTTGTACGTAATATGGATCTTGCACTGGAGATGCGAGCAGTCGGTACATGGAATGGTGAAACCATGTCTAACTAGTCAGTCCTTGGTCGACCAATGATCTCTCGGTCCAGGAAGGATTTGATTCTG